CAACAACAACAACAACAAATTTATTAAATTTGTGAGGTCCATGCCTTTACACAAAATACCATAAAACATTATTAAAAGATAAACCAAAAAGATTATAAAAGTAAGCTAAAATTCATGCCATGTTGTCCCAGCAAGGAAACTACCCAAAAAACCCCACCATTCAAGGAAGAAGGTACAGCAACAGGTTAGGAGAGCAATGGGAGGGACCTCACCGTTTCATCCAGGAACCATACCCTAGTTTTCATAGCCTTCACCACAAAGACCGCTACCACGTGAGAAATCCGTGGATCAGCGTCTACCAGTAAAAACTTTACTTGGTCCTCAGAGTTGACTATTGATTTAGGAATAGTTTGTAACATCGCATCCCTGAAGGCCGAATAGATGGGACAATACAACATGTAATGTATGAGATCCTCTTTGGTTCTCATATAACAAGGACATATCCGCTGCTCTACTGGGATTTTTGCATATCTGCCTGACAGATAGGCCGTAGGAATGGTTTGAAAACGGGCCATAGTAAAGGCTCTCCGAAGAGTGGGATTGGTGATATTCGCCAAGTAGTTGGCGCAGATTTTGACTGCTTTCAGTCGGGGAAGCCAGTGGGAGGACCCTGGGATCTGTATTTTTGTGGTATCTAACAGAGCGTCTCTCTCCAGGATCCATTTCCGGACTTTGTCCGGGCTCCACCGTTTGAGGATATTAAACTCCGGTAGGGTGTATCTAACCAGGATCTCAGATAAGTTTTGGCGCCAAGTGGTATTCTTTTGAAAAGATACGAAGGCTTGTTTGGCCAATAAGGTGTTTGAAGAGTTTGCAAGGTTGATGTAAAATCGTAGGAATCTTAAGTGGGCCCTGGCAGACACAGAGGGTAAACCAACCTCCACCCTCAAGAAGGCTGCTGGGGTTCCTTGAGGAAGGCCTAGAATCTTCTTGAGATAGTAGTTTTGCAAAATTTCAAGCCGTTCCAACAGCCTCTGGTTCCACCCCCAGAGTTCTATCCCATATAACATCTGGGGAATAGCTTTCCCAACGAAAGCTCTTAATGCCGGGATCACCAATTGTCCTCCCCTGGTATGGAAGAAACTAAGCAAAACACCAATTGTTCTTCGTGTTAGGATGGTTACAGCCTTAAAGTGGGCTAGCCAGCTAGATGTAGCCTGGAATGTAACACCCAGATATTTAAAAAAGGGCACTGTTCAATCACTTGTTCATCTAAAGACCATCTAAAGGTGTGGCGAGCTCTAGTAAACACCACAATTTTTGTTTTATCATGGTTTATCTTTAGTGAATTATGGGAACAGTAGGCTGCGATCCCCTCCAGCATGCTGCGTAAGCCTCTTCGGGTGAGTGCCATTAAAACCATGTCATCGGCATATAGCAAAATATTCAGGCGTTTACCTTCAAGGGCTGGAGCCGATGACTTGTACTTTGCCATGTACTGGACAATGTCGTTTATATAAAAGTTGAAAAGAAATGGGGCTAGCAGGCATCCCTGTTTGACCCCTTTCCCCAATGGCAGTGGGTCCGTAAGAGTTCCCGATGGCCCAGTTCTGATTTTGACTGTAATGTCTGTATGTAACTCTCTGAGAATTTTTAAAAGTCGTCTGTCAATGTCCGTTTCATATAATTTTTTCCATAGTCTATCTCTACAGATTGAGTCGAAGGCAGATGTCAAGTCTACGAAGGCCACAAAGAGTCTGCTCTTATACGCTTTTGCATATTTAGCTACCAGGGTCTGTAGTACCATACAGTGACCTATCGTATTGTGGCCCTTTCTAAATCCTGCCTGTTCCTGGTTGAACAGGTTAGAATGGTCCGCCCAATCTACCAGCTTGTTTAATAGGTACCGGGTATAAAGTTTGTATGCGATGTCCAGAAGGCTTATAGGGCGGTAGTTTGCTGGATCTTGAATGTCTCCCTTCTTATAGATAGGGACTACCACACTTAGTTTCCAATTTGCTGGGATTTTACATGTGTTGTTCATTGCCGTAAAAGTTTGGCCAAAAGATGGCCCACCATTGGGCATTTAATTTAAAAACCTCAGGGGGGATCATGTCCTCGCCAGGAGCTTTGCCATTTTTTAAAGTTTTAATTAGCTGTAGGCACTCTGATTCCGTAACAGGATCCCAACTAACTAGATGCTCATTCTTCAATGGGAGGAGCGGACTCAAATTAGCAGTATTTGAGAGTGTGTATAGCTTGAGAAAGTGTTGATACCACACATCGGATGGAATACTGCTGTTTACAATTTTTCCTTTGGATGAGACTCCCTGTGCTACTATTGCCCAGAATTTTCTATCGTCTCGCGATTTAATCGCCTTATCAAGTGCCTCCCATTGTTTCTTCCTGTAAAGGGATTTCTTGAGTTTTAAGGTGTATTTATAGTGAGAGCGCCATCTGTGGAAATTTACCATAGATGACAAAGTCCTCTCCTGTTTTACCTTATTTTGTTGTTTCCTAAGCAGGGATCTTAGCTTCCGGCAGTCTTTGTCAAACCAGGCCCCGATTTGTTATGTTGTATGGGAGGCCTGGTGTTTATAAGAAATGGGAAAAGGGACTCTGAGACCCGCTGATATAGTGAAAAAGGATCAAAGTTAGGTAAAGGACACTGGTCTCTCAGAACCAATAGATCTGGAGAGTGCAGGTGTTGATTAATTTTAAGCTCCAGCTCGCTGTTCCATTTACGCCTGCGTGGGGCCGGTGCTTGAGGAGGGGCTGCACAATGTAGATGTTGTAATCCCCTGATTCAAGGGGAGTTAGTGAGATTGCTCTAGGAAGATGGTCGCTCTCAGTTCTATTAAAAGTGCTGAGACCCTGTACCCTCTCCAAAATTGTTGGAGAGACCAGGATATGGTCAATCACACTTGCACCACGAGGGCCGATAAAAGAGAGGAAACCTCCTGACCTGTCCATGTAAGTACCATGCAGGTTGTACAGATTATGCCTAAAAGCAATCTCCAGTAATGTAATACCTGCCTTGTTCAAGACCTTTTCATCAGAACTCCAAGGGATAAGCCAGTCTGCCTCTGGTAGAAACTGGGTTTTGGAGCTATACGAATTGATGTCGCTGCCTATCCTGGCGTTAAAATCACCTGCCAGCAGGATGTTCCAGTCAGGGAATTCTATTTTGGCCTTCTCCAAGCATGACTCCAAATCTTCCCAGATTTGTACTGTCTGAGAGGAAGTACACACGGGGGGGATATAGACGTTGAAACATAGAAGATCTCCTCCTGTGTTATTGGAGATAAGTAAAATCTGAAAATTGTTGTTCTTCATCCACTGCAGTTGTCGCACCCTGTACCCTTGCTCTATAGGAATAAAGTGACCAGACCGCCGCTAGGTCGGCCCCGGGTTGTTAGTTTTTTCGCAGGGGTAGCAAAAGCCGCATAGCCCTGTAAGTAAGGGGGATGAGAGTCTAGGCACCAGGTCTCTTGTAGACAAATAATCTGGAATTTTGAGAGAAAATCCAGAGAGTTCTT